CAAGCAACTATATGCCAATAAAATGGACAACCTGGAAGAAATGGACAAATTCTTAGAAAAGCACAACCTTCCGAGACTGAACCAGGAAGAAATAGAAAATATAAACAATCACAAGCACTGAAATTGAGACTGTGATTAAAAATCTTCCAACAAACAAAAGCCCAGGACCAGATGGCTTCACAGGCGAATTCTATCAAACATTTAGAGAAGAACTAACACCTATCCTTCTCAAACGCTTCCAAAATATAGTAGAGGGAAGAACACTCCTAAACTCATTCTATGAGACCACCATCACCCTGATACCAAAACCAGACAAAGATGTCACAAGAAAAGAAAACCTCAGGCCAATATCACTGATGAACATAGATGCGAAAATCCTGAACAAAATAGTAGCAAACAGAATCCAACAGCACATTAAAAGGATCATACACATGACCAGGTGGAGTTTATCCCAGGAATGCAAGGATTCTTCAGTGTATACAAATCAATCAATGTGATATACCGTATTAACAAATTGAAGGATAAAAACCGTATGATCATCTCAATAGATGCAGAAAAAGCTTTTGACAAAATTCAACACCCATTTATGATAAAAACTTTCCAGAAAGTAGGCACAGAGGGAACCTACCTGAACATAATAAAGGCCATATATGACACACCCACAGCCAACATCGTTCTCAGTGGTGAAAAACTGAAACCATTTCTTCTTAGACCAGCAACAAGACAAGGTTGCCCACTCTCACCACTATTATTCAACATAGTGTTGGAAGTTTTAGCCACAGCAATCAGAGAAGAAAAAGAAATGAATACAAATAGGAAAAGAAGAAGTAAAACTGTCACTGTCTGCAGATGACATGATACTATACATAGAGAATCCTAAAGATGCCACCAGAAAACTACTAGAGCTAATCAATGAATTCGGTGAAGTTGCAGGATACAAAATTAATGCACAGAAATCTCTTGCATTCCTATACACTAATGATGAAAAATTTGAAAGGGAAATTAAGGAAACACTCCCATTTACCATTGCAACAAAAAGAATAAAATACCTAGGAATTAACCTACCTAGGGAGACAAAGGACCTGTATGCAGGAAACTATAAGACACTGATGAAAGAAATTGAAGATGATACAAACAGATGGAGAGATATACCATGTTCTTGGATTGGAAGAATCAATATTGTGAAAATGACTATACTACCCAAAGCAATCTACAGATTCAATGTAATCCCTATCAAATTACCAATGGCATTTTTTACAGAACTAGGACAAAAAATCTTAAAATTTGTATGGAGACACAAAAGACCCCACATAGCCAAACCAGGGAAAAAAACAGCTGGAGGAATCAGACTCCCTGACTTCAGACTATACTATAAAGCTACAGTAATCAAGACAAGGTGCTGGCGCAAAAACAGAAATATAGATTGATGGAACAGGATAGAAAGCCCAGAGATAAACCCATGCACCTGTGGTCAACTAATCTATGACAAAGGAGTCAAGGTTATACAATGGAGAAAAGACAGTCTCTTCAAGTGGTGCTGGGAAAACTGGACAGCTAGATGTAAAAGAATGAAATTAGAACACTCCCTAACACCATACACAAAAATAAACTCAAAATGGATTGAAGACCTAAATGTAAGGCCAGACACTATAAAACTCTTAGAGGAAAACATGGGAAGAATACTTTTTGACATAAATCACAGCAAGATCTTTTTTGATCCACCTCCTAGACTAATGGAAGTAAAAACAAAAATAAACAAATGGGACCTAATGGAACTTAAAAGCTTTTGCAAAGCAAAGGAAACTACAAACAAGACGAAAAGACAACCCTCAGAATGGGAGAAAATATTTGCAAAGAAATCAACAAAGGATTAATCTCCAAAATATGTAAACAGCTCATGCAGCTCAATATTAATAAAACAAACAACCCAATCCAAAAATGGGCAGAAGCCCTAAATAGACGTTTCTCTAAAGAAGATATACAGATTGCCAGCAAACACATGAAAGGATGCTCAACATCACTAATCATTAGAGAAATGCAAATGAAAACTACAATGAAGTATCACCTCACACCAGTCAGAATGGCCATTATCCCAAAATTTACAAACAATAAATGATGGAGAGGGTGTGGAGAAAAGGGAACCCTCTTGCAGTGTTGGTGGGAATGTAAATTGATACAGCTGCTATGGAGAACAATATGGAGGTTCCTTAAAAAACTAAAAATAGAACTACCATATGACCTAGCAATCCCACTACTGGGCATATACCCTGGGCATATACCCTGGGCATAATTGAAAAAGAGTCATTTACCACAGTGTTCATTGCAGCACTATTTACAATAACCAGGACGTGGAAGCAACTTAAGTGTCCATCAACAGATGAATGGATGAAGAAGATGGGGCACATATATACAATGGAATATTATTCAGCCATAAAAATAAACAAAATTGAGTTATTTGTAGTGAGGTGGATGGACGTAGAGTCTGTCATACAGAGTGAAGTAAGTCAGAAAGAGAAAAACAAATACCATATGCTAACACATATATATGGAATCAGAAAAAAAAAGTTCTGATGAACCCAGGGGCGCAGGCCAGGGATAAAGATGCTGATGTAGAGAATGGACTTGAGGACATGGCGAAGGGGAAGTTTAAGTTGGGACGAAGTGAGAAAGTAGCATTGACATATATACACTACCAAATGTAAAATAGATATCTAGTGGGAAGCAGCTGCATTGCACAGGGGTATCAGCTTGGTGCTTTGTGGCCACCTGGAGGGGTGGGATAGGGAGGGTGGGAGGGAGACGCAAGGGGGAGGGAATATGGGGATATATGCATACATATGGCTGATTCACTTAGTTGTGCAGTGGAAAGTAGCACAACATTGTGAAGCAATTATACTCCAATAAAGATGTTAAAAAATAATAAAATGGACAGTATAAAAAAAAGTACTCAGCAATCTGTGTCAATGTCAGTGATACAGTGATTATATGACTTAGTGAGAAATTGAGAGAAAAAGATAACTATTTTTTGATATTTTTAATAAAGTTTTTTTTTCTGTTTTTAATAAAGTTTTCTTTTAAGTACAACTTTGCTTTCATTCTGTAAGGTTCATGGTCAAAAGTCACATGGCCATCTGCAAGCTGCAAGAGATGCTAGGAAATGGAGGATTTTAATTAGCATACTGCTGTCCCAGACAAAAATGAGGATTCTGTTAATAAGGAAGAATGGGGGAATAAACATTGGATAAACTACTAGCAGTATCTTTCATAAAATCCTAAGGGCTTGGGAGATTTTCCTGTAGATTCCCATGCTATACAGATTGTTACAAAGCATTGCGAGATGGAAAGATACCCAATTTATTTTATAAAGCTGCCAGGATCTTGTATCAAAACCTGACAAAGATGAGTGAAAAGGAAAATTATAGACCAGTTTAACTTATGAATATAACTGTGAAAAGTCAAGATACAAACATTTCAACTTTTCAGCACATTGAAAGAATCATCCATCATGATCATGTAGGGTTCATACTGTAAATGTAAGAATGCTTTAATATTAGGAAAGCTTTTAATTCAATACAGCATATCAAAAGATCTAATAAGAAAAAATATGGTAATCGCAATAGATAAAGATTTGATCAACGTTAGCCCTTGTTTCTGATTAGAAAATCAGTCTTAGACAATTAAAACTGGAAATATATTTCTTTAATGAAATAAAGATATCTAACTCCTATTCTGGTCAAGTTTATTCCAGTACAAAGAACAAAGGTATAGTCCATATACCCCAGCCTTATCAATCTATGACTTCAAAATACACTTTTAAGTAATACCTGAAGTAGGATGGCACAAAACCATAACGATGTACTCCCAGTTCCTTCTGGAAGTGTCTCAAAGTATTCTCTTTCATGTGCTGCAGAACACATCCCCCTCCTTCCTCAGCTCACATCTCTCTGACTTGCCACCATACAGCTGCAGTAACTCTAGTTAGGTAGAATGATGGGCGTACCTGTTCTTCACTCAGGGGAAAATAGTACCCACTCGTTCCTATTTTTCTGTTTGAGAATAAAAATGAGGATACTTCTAATATTGCCTTTGAACTTTTAGAATTAGATAGTTTTATAAAATCAAATTATCTACTCCTTTGTAAAGTGTGTGATATGGCTTTGCTCTGATAATAAGTGGACTAAGGCTTATTAACTTCTGAAGCCACAGTAGTGTACGTTTTATATCAGTATTTTTAAGTCTTTTTTCTTTTTACCACAACCCACACTAAGAAATACATTTTAAACTGTGACCAAGTGTACACACACGCACACACACACATTCTGTACATTCATATCTATAATTTTTTTTAAGTTTCACAAAACTTACCAAGGATCTATGCAAAATACTCTCATATATATCTATTCTATTCTACTTCATTAAAAAAAATTGATATCAACCCACCAAATTTCCTTAGACCATGCTTTTTTAAGTTTTATGATTCTGTACAGAGGGTGATTCTTTCGACTCTTAAGTAAATAAAATGTCTGGAGTTCAAGAATTCAATTTTGGAAGATGAGAATGTATTGGTTTTTAGAAATATGTTCTAATTTTGTTGTAAATATTAACTTTCATGTATAGGCAGGATGCTTTTGGTGCTAGTTGCTAGTTTTTCTTTGATTTCTAGGAGGGTGATTGGATAAGAAAGAATTTTCTAAATGGTGATTTCTTTTCTACCTGCAGCTCTCATGTGTGACTGTAACTCTAGTGCATGATTAACCTAAGGACCTCACCACTTGGAAGTTACAGTTTTCGTCATCAGCTTACCTTATCCTTTTGGTCTGGTTGTTTTCCTCAAACACTGGAAACATCTTTCTTTCAAGTTGCTTTTGTTGAAGAGTTAGGCAAATGGCTGATAGCAGCTGTGGTAAAAAATCCACAAAATGCCCCAACTGTTCATCTGCTTCTCAGAGAAATGTGCTTTGTGTATGTTCTTGTAAAACAAAGCTTTCTCCAATGTCAGTGGTGGAAATGTCACAGACATCGAGCACTGGTAGTTCAGAATTTACAGTTTCACCAGAGAGAAAAAAAGAAAGACAAGCCAGCAAAGATAGTACCTCTGGAAAAGATTTGGTAAATATTGAAGATTCAACACAAGTGGATGTCCCATTCCCTGATCCCATCCCTAGATTCATCCATATCCCATGGACCCTTGTCAGCCAATTCATTGCCTTCTTAACTATTAAAGTAACATTTCTTTCTTACGTAAGAGGTGAGAAAAGTTGGTTGGTAATTTCTTTTATGCTCTTTCCAACGACTGCCCAAATTAATGATTTCTCAGGATTATGAATAATTCAGAATGTTATTCCAGCTTCTTTTTTAAAAAATGGTTTATATGGAAATGAATTGGTTTTCAAATTGAATTCAATCTGAATTTTGGGGCATTTTCTTCAACTGATGCAGAATGAGATTTATGGTTGTGGTTAAATATAGGGTGGTTATTACTTAAGACAGTTCCTGGTTATCTAGATGGAATATCAAGTATACCTTACAAAATTGACTTGCATTGGTTACAATCTATGACTACCCAGTTGGACAGGTTTTGGTATATTCGCCTTTATAGAGGAGAGGCACTATGGAAGATTGTCATTGATATAGCACAACTTTGGAGACAGAGAGCAGTAAGTTTAAGAAAAGTTAGGTTCTCAGCCCTCAAGTTTGTACCCTTTTCACATTTTCACCCTAAACTGTTATTTCTGATTTGTATTATGGTATAGTTTTTTCCATATAGGTGTCTCTGAGTGAATTATTGCTGTGTTATCTTCATTCAAAGCATATTTCGTGAATGTCTGGCCAGTAATTTTTTGTGTATAACCTATTTGAGATGACTGTTATGTCTTGAAACAAGGGTGATTGAGAAAGCTGTGAAGTTGCTTTCTTTTGTGGTGTTAAAGATTTTAAGTCCTGATTTATCTTCTATGCAAGTCATCATGTAGACTTGCCTGGATAGAGGAGATTAGATTGAATAACTTCTTAAGGCCTCTTTTAGCCTAATGAGTGAATGAATTATATAGGGCTTAGAATTTGAAAAAAACAGTAAACTGTCTTGTACACAATAAATATCATGACACACATTAAAGATTTGTCAGATTATTATATCTGAAAGTTAATATTAAAATTTCTTTTTGGTCCAAGCCCTCAGAAACCTCAAGTGTAGAGAGAAAATCATCTCAACAACAGTGGGGTCGAGGCAACTTTACAGAAGGAAAAGTTCCTCACATAAGGATGGACAATGGAGCTGCTATTCAGGTATATAGAGAGCAAACTGAAGCTACTAGAAATTTTCCAGTTTCTTCTAAGTCAGTGTTAATGGCAAAAATGATTTAAAAGTAAGTCTCTAAGGAAAGGAAAGAGGAAACTTACCATTTTTAAGTATGTCAAAGTCTTTACTAAAGAAAATGCAGATTAATTATTTTTTCTGTTCATAGAGGTGCAAATGGACTTTAATAATTAAAGTGGAGAGCATTTTTATTAGACAAAATGAGAACATTTTGGTCTCCAGGTCTTGCCTGTTGCTGAGGGCAGTTGTGGAGTCTTTGTATAGACCTATTCAGGATGCAGACAGAGACCAGGTGACTTAGATGGTTTGGCTGTTCACTTCTTTGATGACCAGTAGTGAGGCTAGAATTTCCCTCATGGACCCCTCCATATTTTTCCAGCCTGTGACTGAGTGAATACCAATATTATTCTTCCCAGGATTCTAATTCTTATATACAAATATGACTTAAATATTAGTACCATTTTAGAAATTAAAATGTGTTCCTTTAACACCAGATTAAAGGAACTGCAACAAGAACAACAAGAAGAAAATTGTGTTAATGTTAAATAACTTTAAAAAATTACTTTAAGAAATATTTGGCAATTTACTTGAAGAGATCAGAAAAACTTTCTGAGAACTTCTGACCTGAAAAGTTTAAATCTTCCCCTGTAAACAAAAGACCTGAATTTTAAAAAAATCCACAAATTTACTGAGTTTTAAATTTAACCATAAGAGCTTTTATAAAAGCAAAATGTATGTGTTTTGAAAAATTAGGAAAATATAGATAGAAAAGTGAAGAAGATAAAAATCATGAGCCAGACATAACCAATTTTAACATTTATTGTCTTTACTTCATTTTTCTAGGCATGTATAAGTCTTACCCTATTTTTTGTTTTTGTTTTTTTCCTGGTTTAAATTGTAAAATATTTCAAATATACACATATTTTTAAGAAATAACATTAAATGGTATAGTGGAAGTTTCTCTTCCCCTATTAAATAGACAGGCTCATTTTAAAGATATCAAACATTTCAGAAGAGTATAAAAAAGGAAGCTACAGTCATCCAAAGTTCTACTACCTAATGATAACTATTCTTAATATTTAGATGAACAACTTTCCAGACATCAATGTAAGCACCTCCACATATACAGATTTTTCGTAATGGGATCATATCATGCATGCTTTCACACTCTATACTATATCATGGACTTCTTATATGTCAATAAAAAGAGATCTACGTTACCATTGTAATAGCATCCTCTTAAAATTATTACAAACAAGAAGTCATTTTCTCCTTACTGTCATCACTATGTAATGATGCCAAAGCAGTTAGTTGAAGAAGAAGATTAATTTATAAACAACTAGTTGGGCAGTTGGACTATTTTTCTACCCATTCTTCATTTTAAAAATCCTATAAACAGTATTAAAATACTGTGTCCAAATTGTGGTTCTATATGTCTAGAGATGAAATGAGAGGTTAATTTTTAAAGAACAAGAAAAGTTGGGGAAGTGGTTAGGGATTATTGAGATTATTTTGTTCTGTGGGAATAAAAGGTTTAAGTGGAGATTTAACTCATTTTACATAGTGTATAGTTGGGAGTTGCAGGTACATATAATAAAATGTTTTGTCTTATTTTAATCATCTTAGTTTTTTGACTTTAATTCTCACTATCAAGTGGTAATGGGAAGAGGGAAAAGCCAAAGTAATTATAAGTCATCAGAAGGCAGTGTCCTGAGGACAATCGCCTGGACAGGATGTGCCCTGCCTGAGTGGGGGTCACCATTCACAACATTCAAGACCTCAGATCTGGAGCTCCTTCTCCAGGGTTCAACTCCATGTACCCAGTCTCTCACTTCTCTCAAATATGCATATGTATAGAAGGTTCCTGACTGGCTGGCTTGCTGACTAGATTGATTTATTGATTCAGTTCATTTATCAGCTCACTCATTCATTCCACATTTGCACTGCTGTTCCTTTGAAATGCCTTCCTTGCTGTGATTGGATTAGAGAAAAATATTCTCAGTTATTTTTTTTTTGCCTTTGTTCCCTCACATGCCTATCTCAGAAGCCATGTCTTTCATAACGTTTTCCCTTATTCTCCCAGTATTTTAGCTCTGGTCTCTGGCCCCAGTGTCATTTTGTATTTTTTTTTTAACTTAAGATTTTATGACTTAAGTAATAATCTTGTCTTTTGAGTAGACTACAAATTATGAGAAAACAGTAATTATGTTTTATTCATCTTTGTAGCCCCCACACTATGTATCACAAGGAAATATCCAAGGAAAATCTAACATGTTGAAGCTGAACATTTTTCTTTTCTTTTCCTTTTCTTCTCTTCTCTTCTCTTCTTTCTTTTCCTTTCTGTCTCTCCCCTTCCCTCCCTCTGTCTCTTTTTTCTTTCCGTTTCCTTCTTTCCTTTCTTCCTCCCTTCCCCTTCTCTCCCCTCCCTTCCCTTCTTCCTTCTCCCTTTTCCTCCCATGCACTAAGCATGAATATTTTGCCTACAAGGTTTCAGGCAGGCTTTTTAAAGGATACAAAAGAAACAGCTTCTTCATAAGGTGTTTCTAGACCATCTTGGAAGGAAAAAAATGAGCCAAAGTGTTTGTAAGCAAGAGAGTAATAATAGTGTTTGAGGACCAATGCATACATGTTGAAGGAAGTCAAACAAACAATTACCATGGTGCAGAGTTAGGCAGAGAAGCCCTTCATAAGGAGGTAAGTAATTAGTTGGATACGGATCTTCTTTTACAAAAGTAAGAAAGGAATGTAAGCAGTAGAAAACATGAAGTCTAGCAGTAACTTACCTGTTGCATGGTGAAGATGAAAGTAGTCACGCAGAGGGAACGTGGCATCTCTAAGGCAGGCTTTGGCTGGCTAACCCAACAGGGGCTTCCCCGAGCAGCATTAGCTCAGGTGTTCTCTCCTGTTCTAGTCCCTGTGCATCATGGGTCGAGAAACTCTTGCTACTGCCCTGGAGTTGATTGAGATCAAGGAGACTGACTCCCTCCAACCAAATTCACAAGAAATGAAAGTGTAAATGAGTTACCTGCTTGTTATTTTACGACATGAAGAGGAATGCTGGTTGCAAGACCACGCATTCTGTCTTTGTAAGCAGGAGTAAAACGATAAGCAGAAGGATCCTTGGTCTGGATAGTGTTACTGTGGAAGGTTTTCATTTTTTTTTTACAGTGCTGATTTATATTAATATTTTGGTCATATATTCCTTTTCCTAAAACAAAAGGAAATAAAACAACTAAAGTGATTTTTTTAATAGAAACAGTGAAGATAAAGAAAAAGGGTTACTTGGTAAACAGGAGAGCAGTTGTTCAGTGGTTAATATGTGCTGATTTTATAGTGTAGCTCTCAGAGTTTGGTGATAATTTTTTGGTTGAATGTATCTTATACACACACATATATATTTGCATGTATGAATGTTCCATTCCTCCTTTTTCTTATGAAGACATTTCATTAATATTGTAGTTTATAAGAGGTTCATTTTTTATGCTTTTGAAGTTTTTTACATTTCTTTGTAAGGATTTTTATGGTTTTCCTCTAAAGGATATTTAATAAAATTCATCAAAACTTATTTTTGTTTAATTAAGATGTGTTTATTAATATTGAAGCAAATATGGGGTGTCTTCTGTTTGATTTTACCCTGGAGCAGAATCACTCTTCCCTTGGGTGGATATCTGTCAGTATTATATGTTTATTTGTAATCCTGATGAATGGCAGAGAGAGACAAAGGAACTCATGTTTTTTATCCAGGAAATCTATACCTTTGGAAGAATACTGGGAAAAGGGAGCTTTGGAATGGTCATTGAAGCTATTGACAAGGAGACAGAAACTAAGTGGGCAATTAAAAGAGTGAGCAAAGAAAAGGTAAGGCATATCGGCAGCGTCCTACTGAGAGCACAGTGCCAGTGCAGGGTGGGGTAGGCAGTACAGTTTTTCACACTAACACAGCTGACCCTGAGGGCCAGGGCCTAGGCTGTTCCCCTGGAGAAATGTGGATATTTCTCTAGCCTTCTGGGACGGGACCAGTTCTTAAACTCAAGTAGACAGGTACTAAAAAGTAAATGAAAGGATTACCTAACATAACCAGCATAACCAAATATAGGTAAAGTTTACCAGAGTGAGCTGAAGGTGAGGGCTGATCATCAGTATGTGTAGATGGAGGGCTGTGGGCTAGCGATGTCTTAGTGAGAAATGGGTCCCGGTAGTCTCTCCCGATGTGGTTCTGATATACTTTGTCCCTATCTTTGCCTTTCCTTTGATTCCCTATTTCCTCATTGGTAGCTAACTCTGTTTATTCATCCTACCTACTCTTTCAGTTTGAACCACTTTTCCCCCAACTCTCTTCTGTACTGTTTACTTGTAATCACTGTATGTCTCACTAGGTTTCATTGGAGTGAAGAACAACTGGGCTTCTTTTTAAGGGAGAATCTAAGTCCTCAAGCTTTATATCTGATCGTTTCATCAACTTTAAAACACTTTCTATGCCCGAGGAAAAACAAAAGACAACATTAGGTGTTTTCCCCTTGGATTTGCGATGATAAATATTACACTTACAAAAGGAAATAGTAGGTTTTATGTATTCTTTAAAACAAGCCATAGGAAATTATATACCATTTCCCCCTAAAGTTTAATACGGTAACATTAAATCTTAATAAAGGGAGATCCAAAAAAATAAAAAAATAAAGGGAGATCCAGAGCCCTTCTAGAAATCTTTAGAATTAACTAAATGAACTGTCGGGGCTTCCCTGGTGGCACAGTGGTTGAGAATCCGCCTGCCAATGCAGGGGACACGGGTTCTATCCCTGGTCCGGGAAGATCCCACATGCCACAGAGCAACTAAGCCCGTGCGCCACAACTACGGAGCCTGTGCTCTAGAGCCCGTGAGCCACGACCACTGAGCCCACGTGCCGCAACTACTGAAGCCCACATGCCTAGAGCCCGTGCTCCACAACAAGAGAAGCCACCGCAATGAGAAGCCCACGTACCACAACAAAGAGTAGCCCCCGCTCGCCACTACTAGAGGAAGCCTGCGCACAGCAATGAAGACCCAACCCAGCCAAAAATAAATAAATTAAATAAATACATTTATTTAAAAAATAAATAAATGGGATGTTATATCCTTTGCTTTGCTCCTATCCCAGATTGGGTTAGGGGTTAGGTTTTAGGGTTATATAGTCAGGATGCCTGCTTGCAACTTTAGGAATTCATAATCTTGCACATACCTATTGATGCTGAGAGCTTTCAGGACACTAAGTAAAATAAAGTTATATAGTCAGTATATGAATTGGACAGTATCTTACTGCATTATATACAGGTCAAATCATTTGTGGAGGGAGGTAGGAAGAGGATTGAGATGGATATTGTTATAACTCTCCATATCTAGTCTGTATAGGAATTCACTCCTCACAATCACTATTTCTCTTGACCCTCTAGGATAACCTTAAACTGTGACTTTCATCCTCCATGGGTGAGGCACAGAGGGTGGGCAGTTTCCTATCCCTCCTGAGATGGTAATGGTTGAAGGGTAAAGGTAATTGGAAGCAGGGATGACACTAGGAACAATTTTAACTAGGTAAAATTTGCCTTATGATCAATCCCTTTCCAGTCCTTCAGGAACTATTATGTCTCTCCCAAACTTGGTGGGGGCAGGGGTTAGGGGTAAGGAGGGAGGAATAAGAACTTTATTATCCCTTTCAGGGATATTTTCATGTGAATGAGGACAATGTTTATCCTTGAATAATGATGGTAATTTAGATATCAAGAGGGGTGATGACTGGGTTGGTGGTAGTGGTGGTTAGGGTGGAGAAAGCCCTTCTGAAATTTCTTAGATGACATTGTAGACAGTTACTTACACCCTGAATGAAGGCCTGGTCAGGTGTGGTTAAGGGTTACATGTAAGGAGATAAATTGGAGTTAGGTTGGTCTGAAGGCAAAATCTCCATCTCCATCTTGATCGAGCGTGCTCTCTCTCCTCTTTCTCTCTCTCTCAAATTTTTGAGGCTGGGGGACTAGGAAGTAATATAATGCAGGGCTAAGTGTAGAATCTCACTGCCTGTTGTTTCTTTTGATATGTATATAAATATAATCAAAACAAAACAACAATAAAACAAAAACATTTTATTTTAACAATTCTAACATTTAATGAGACAGATGCTTTATATCCGTTTTCTAATTGATGTCCCGGGAAAGTAGATTTTGTTTTTATTACGCTAACATCAAAGGATCAATACGATTTTGAAGGAAATTCCAAAAAGGCTATTAAAAATTGCAATAATTTTGTGACATGACAGAGACCATGTTGTAGCTAATTTATAGAAACAGTCCAAGAAACGTGGTTTGAGGCCAAATTATATATCTCTTAAAATTGGACAAAGGATAAGATGGGGCATACTTTAATCTTAACACATAGGTAAGTTGCATGTTATCTTTTGAAAAAGGAACTTCTAAAGAAAATGTAGGAAAAATATTAAATAACTTTAACTTTTATATTGAGGTATGCAGTAATGAAATTCATATGTGAAATCTATGTTTCCTCATCATTGAAGGCTGGAAGCTCTGCTGTGAAGTTGCTTGAACGGGAAGTGACCATCCTAAAAAGTGTGAAACACAAACACATTATACATCTAGAACAAGTATTTGAGACGCCTAAGGTAAAGCTTTGTCAGGTGCTGCATTTTGAAAATTGTTGTTATTACAAAATGAACATCATTCCCTTGGGAAGTAATCCTTTTGGGACACAGTGGCTCATGTCCTTGGCATGAGTCTGTCACTGGAGATTGATGAGAGCATTCTGGAGGACTTTTTATTGTTGATTTTATAGTTAGGTGTCTGATGATTAGATTGACGTTTTTAGTGAAATTTCTGGTGGCATGTTGAAAACAAATGTTTAAAATTGAAACAACCTCAGATATAACCCATTTGTGACCAGAGCTTCCTCAGAAGTGTCTTTCTTTTTGCTTTGCCTTGGTTCTCCATTAGAGTCTCTTGGAATATTGTCATAATTTTGCAAGTCTAGCTTCATAGTAGAGTTGGTATGGGCATATTTGGCACTATGTAGAAGATATTTTGTCATCTGTGTCTTAAACTAATATGTTTAATCTTCCTTCTTTCCTAGATGTTTTCATTCTTGTCTTTCAATGCTTCTAATTTCCATTTAGAGTTGTTCTGAAGCCTGGGTTATTGCCATTCTGCCTTCAAGTTGTTTATGCACGTGGGCTTGGGTATTTCTCTGCTCGGGGGCAGTATGATACAGTGGTTACGCACGTGGACTCTGGGATCAGATTGCCTGTGCAGTATAATCCTGGCTCCAACACTTATTAGCTCTGAGACCATGGACAAGTTACTCAACCTCTCTATACTTAAGTTTCCTCATCTGTAAGATTGGTTTAATGATAGTATCAAACTCATTTGGTTGTTGAAGGATTAAACGGGAAAGCGAATATAAAGCATACATCTCATCGACTGTTAGCTATTGTTCTTTGTTTCCTTTGACAGTCTCTAAGGCAGCAATAGTCAACTTGCGTTATGCGTTATGCTTGATTCATTAGAAGTGCTTGATAAATGTTAGCTACCACAGTTACCTTTTATGGGAGCAGTATATGGCAGTGGTGCCAGAAGGCTTCTCTACCTTTTCAGTTTTAGAGCTGTGACTTATTTTATCCTCAAATCTGCTTAGAATAGTTTTGCTCTTTATCATCAGCTTTAACCAATTTCATTATGTTGTGCCTTGGTATAGTTGTCTTCATGTATCCTGGCTTGGGGTTCATGGAACTTCTTGAATCTGTGAGCTTATGGTTTTCATCAAATTAAGGAACATCTTGGCCATTATTTCTTCAAATATTTTTTCTGCCTTCTCCTACTTTTAGGACCTCAAGTACACATGAGATTGCCTGACATTGTACAAAGCTCACTGATGCTCTATTCATTTTTTTCCAATCTTTTTTCTCTCCCTGTTTAGTTTCGCAGAGTTTCTGTTGTGATCTCTTCAGATTCAGTAATCTCTTTTTCTGTAACATCATATGCGCTGTTTATCCCTTCCAATGGAAATTTGCTTTGGATCATTTTTCTATCTTCCATGTTTCTACTTAACGTGCTCACTATTTCCTCCTCCTTAAATATAGTTACAATAACCTTTAATGTCCTTTTCTCTTAATTCTATCATATGTGCCATTTCTATGTCAGTTTTAATTGATTGATTTTTTCCCCTTCGTTATATGCCTGCTTCTTTAGATGCCTGTTAATTGTTGATTGAGTGCTGGCTATTTTTTATACTCTTACAACTATTTTTGAGCTTTATTCTGGGACATAGTTAAGTTATCGGAAATAGTTTGATACTTTTCAAGCTTGCTTTAAGCTTTGTTAGGTGGCACCAGAGCAGCCTTTGGTCTAGGGCTAATTTTTCCAGACTAATGAGGGAAGACCCTTTTGAGTATTCTACCCCATGAATAATGAGATTTTCCACTCTGGCTAATGGGAATACAGACCCTTCCTGGCCATGTGTAAGCGCCAGTGATTGTTTCTTCTGACCTTTTCACATGGTTCTTCTCCCAACTTTGGGTAGTTTCCTCATACATATGTGCTAGTTGGTACTTCGCTGAAGAGTCGAGGGGGGGCTGTCTGCAAATCTATGGAGCCTTCTCTCCATAGATTTCTCCTCTTTGGTAATCTTCTCTGTGAACTTCAGTTGTCTTGGCCTTCAGGGACTCCCAGCACCATCTCCTCAGTTCATGTAGACTGCTGGGCTCTGTTTGGATTCCTTTTCCCTTCTCTGTGGCTTGGAAACTCTCCAGACAGTAAGCTAGGATAATCACGGGGCTGGCCTCGTAGGTTTCCCCTCTCTCAGGGATCACTGCCCTATGCTGTCTGATGTCTAATGTCTGAAAATTGTTATTTTATGTATTTTGTCCATTTCTTAAGTTGTTTCAGGAGGGAGGGTAAGTCTGATCTGTTACTTCATCAAGTGGGAGTCCAAATCTAGGATAATTTGAAGGCCAAAGAAACCATCATCTGTGATTGTCTTTTTCATGTATTGTTTGCCCTTGATTCACACAGGTCACATCTGACTCCCCATCTTCCCAACTCACACAAATGCCTAGACCTTCCGTTGAAGCTATCTTAAGGATGAATGGAAATTGCTACCTGAAGGGTTAGGCTAAGATAGTAATGCTGATCATGCAGTTTGACTATGTATGGTTTCTTGTGAGTCCAAATGTTCTACACAATTACTTTTAATAATTGTATAAAGAGTTGTAAAAAACTTCTGTTGATATAACTTTTATCAATGTGCATATTTTAAAATGACATCAATTTATACTGTAAGCACTGCTAATATAACTTTGCCTTCCAAATAGTTCACTTACCATTTCATTTCATGATCCTACAGTGTTGTCAGTGGAAAAACTACGGCCTAGTTCAAAAGCTTGTTTACGTGTTAGACTTTGCAGCATTCTGTAGTTACTTTTGAAATTCTAAACATCTTGAGTTTGAGTGAGTCAGAATTTTGACTATAGGAAGAAAGGTTGTTAGCCTTGTCCTCCTGTATTCGTGCTTGCTGACTGAACACAGAAGTTGCACTAGTAGTGGTAATAGAATAGGATCAGATTCCAGAATCTTAAAAACAGCGGTGAAAATGTGGTATAGGATAGAATGGAGACATGGAGGGTAGTCTGTGTCTGAATAGCATAGGTATGAAAAAGACACGCATTTTAGTTGACTGTGAATCTTTTTGACTTAATAGATGACTTGGCTATCGGAATACCTAAGGTGATCTTAATATCTATGCACAGAAACAGGAAATATGGAAGAGGCGTTTCATTTGTGGCTTTTTACGATTTATACCCAATTAGTCACTAAGTCCCACTATTTCTCCCTCCAGGTATTTTCACATCTTTTTCTTCTTCCTTCTTTTCTCCATTCTGTGCCTCACATCTACCCTCTTATAATCAGAGGTCAGCTTACGCAGCATGTGAGCCAGTGGCATGTGGCCTGTTCTTTTATGGCCCATAAGCCAGGTTTTATACATTTTTAAATGGTTGGAGAAAACGTAAAAGAGTAAAATTTCATGACATGTTAAAATTATATTAAGCTAAATTTCAAAGTCCATAAATAAAGTTTCGTTTATGGATGCTTTTATGCTGTAACAGCAGAGTTGAGTGGTTGCAAGAGATTGTGTATGTTCCTCAAAGCCAAAAATGTTTACTACCTGGATCTGGCCTTTACAGAAAAAAGTTTGTTGAACTCTGCTCCTCATTACTGTTAGAGTGTTCATTTAGAAATGCAGAATTGATAGTAGCACATACCTTTCCCCCCACTCCAGACATCAGCTTAAAATCTACAGTGGCGGGCTTCCCTGGTGGCACAGTGGTTGAGAGTCCGCCTGCCGATGCAGGGGACGAGGGTTCATGCCCCGGTCCGGGAAGATCCCACATGCCGCAGAGCAGCTAGGCCCGTGAGCCATGGCCGCTGAGCCTGCGCGTCCGGAGCCTGTGCTCCACAACGGGAGAGGCCATAGCAGTGAGAGGCCCGCGTACCGCAAAAAAAAAAAAAAAAAAAAATCTTCAGTGGCTCCTTATTGCATATGGGAAAAAAGAAAAAATCCCAGCTCCTTTGTGTGACATCCAAGACTCCTTACAGCCTGACACCAACGTGTTCTTTCTGGCCTCACCCCTCACCATCTCAGTCTTCTCTGACTTACCAAACTCCCAGTGCTATTAACACTGAGATACTTGTTATTCTTTAACTGCCAGCACTGGTTTCTTTCTTTCTTTCTTTCTTTCTTTCTTTCTTTCTTTCTTTTTTTCTAGTCTTGCAGCGCTGGCATGCGGGATCTTAGTTCCCGACCAGGGATAGAACCGGCGCCCCCTGCAGTGGAAGGGCAGAGTCTTAACCACTGGACCGCCAGGGAAGTCCCACCAGTGCTGTTTTGAGCTTTGGAGTCTGCAAATGCCATGTGCTATGCCTGTTCTTGCCCATATTCTCTACCCATAAATCCCTATTCAGTCATCCAGACGTGCCTGTATGTTGCCTCTTCAGTGAGCATTCTTTAGGCAAAGGCTCCCCTCCTCTGTAACCTCATCACATTTCGGACATTCCTCTTCTGTTAGCCATTACCCCATGGTATTGTGATTATAGCGAAACTCTGAACTCCTTGAAGGTAAAGACTATGTGTCTTATGCTTCCTTTTTCCTCTAGTATCCTGCATAGTATCTTGTACATGATAGATAACAAATAGTTTTGAATGAAAAGATCGATTGTAACCATATTTCTGCTATACGTATACCATATATAACATTTTAAAGATCCTCAGCTAAATAATTTGTGCTCTCTGTCTCTCTTTTTAAATTTATAATGTCAGAAAATGTACCTTGTGATGGAGCTTTGTGAGGATGGAGAACTCAGAGGAATTCTGAATAGGAAAGGTCATTTCTCAGAGAATGAGACCAGGTGGATCATTCGAAGTCTCGCCTCAGCTATAGCCTATCTTCACAATAAGGGTAAGAAGAGGATCCAGCTCACTGACTCCATGAGTGCAGACACCACTTTTGTTTAAGGGCAATTGTATTCAGGGTTCATAGTCACAGAAATAATGCCTACTAATATGGAAGATATTCTTTTAAAAATTAAAAAAATTTTTCCTTTTTAACTTTATAGATATATTTTAATTAGAAGCAAGGCAGGTATGCAATTACATTGTACACAGACAAGATGAAATTATGAATGTTTCTACAGAACAGTTTGAAAAGAAGCTAATATTATCAAATCAAACATAGAAAATCAATAATAAAAGTGAAATTTCTAAAAACACATATATTAATAATGTTAAAAGTCTATATATTCTAGGCATTTAAAATTTTTTAGATTAATTATTAGAGCAGTTTTAGGTTCACAGCAAAATGGAGAAGTTACAGAGAGTCCCAGATACCTCTGCCCATGCATGCACATCCTGCCCCGTTATTAGCATCCCCCATCAGAGTGGTACATTTACTACAATTGATGAACCTACACTGACACATCATTATCACCCAAAATCCATAGTTTGGATCCATAGAATCCAAAATTCTATGGATTTTGACAAATGTATAAAGATACATATCCCCCAGTATAGTACCATATGGGAATCGTTTCACTACTTTAAAATCCACATTTAAATATTATTCTAATTCTTCTAATTGCTTTACTGTTCTTTGGTGTTATTGCTACTGTTTTTCCTCGTGCTTCTGCTTTTTTTTCTTCAGTGTTAGTTTGGCTTACATGTGACTTTAGAAACTTCTCATTTTATAGATGAGAAAAAGCTTTGTTCCAGAGAGGTGAAGTGACATGGTTAGGTGTGGCAGAGCCGGTACTGGAACCCAGGGGTTCATTCAGCAGATATTTCTTGAGCACCTACAGCATTGTGGTTAGTTCTAGAGTTACAGAAGTTAAAAGACAAGGCACCTGCCCCTCAAGGAAATTGAGAGGCAGATGGGTGATGGAGTACAGAAAACAAACTGTAATGCAACATGATAATTTCTGAAAGCCATATAAAGTGCAAGGAGCATAGGTATATTAAGCGCCTCATTTGATTTGGAAAGTCAGGGAAGAATTCACAGAGGAAGCAAAACCTGAGCTGAGGAATACAAACTCAGACGAAAAAGGGAGGGCTTTCCAGGCAGAGGGCAACAATTTTTGCAAGGGCAGGAAACCAAAGGCTTAATATTATGCTAATGTCGATTCTCCCACATTAAGCTGTAAATTCAGTATAATTTCAAACTAAATCTTAACAGGGTTTTTCATGGAACTTGATAAAATTATTTTGAAATGGGTGAGACTAGTAAAGCAAACAATGAAAAAGAAGAACAGCGGAGGCAGCAGAGAGACTTGCCCTGCCAACTACTAAAACAAAAAGATAAATTAATATTAAAATTTTGTGGTATTTATGTAAGAAGAGATAAGGAGAACAATAGAAACAATTAAAATTCCAACACAGGCTGGAACTGTGTAAGGGAACTGTAAATAATTAGGTATAATTGCCAGTCCAGGGCTCATTCAGCTTCATTTTTCCAGAAATTATGCCTATAACTTTTTAAGTTTAGGGAAATGATTGCTATGGATATGAACTGAATCAGTTATTTGCAAAGGAAATATTTGGTACATGAGAGTATTTGCATGTACATAAAAGTCCTACCTGAGCTCTGACATGTTCAACTGGAGATTTTGTGTCTCAGGGGTTTTTGTTTTTAATTTTGATGTATAGAGTAGGAAGGTGGTACTGATGTTGTAGAAAAATATACTGAAGTAAGTGTAGTTTGTATACGTGTTGCCAGGTTGCAGTATGTTAAATGTTTATACTGGCAATAACATATGCATAGAAGTAAAGAAGTCATCCTCTATTTGAAGAGCGAAGGACATGGGAAACCTTCCCAGGCTTGTAAGTACACGTGTCTCCCTCCTCCAGGGAATACCTAACCTTGGACAGGATCCTCTTCCATACTTACCAGGCCACTTGTCATGAAGAGCGGCCAGTTGGAGCAGCAGGGGATTGGGGAGAGGTGAGGGAGCCAAAGAAAATGGCTCCTTAAGGTTAGAAACATGGAGAAAAGGGATCTGAATATCAGGGAATAGAAGAGGGCAGGGTTACACCTGGCCCTCCTCAAATTTTTCAACAGTGGATGTTAACTGGTCAAGTATATTTATTTGTTCTATTTGTGTCCTCTCTATTTTTTCATTATCCATTTCATTTGATTTGTTGTTTATTTTCTTGGTAGATATAGTACATAGAGATCTAAAACTGGAAAACATAATGGTTAAAAGCAGCTTTATTGATGCTAATGATGAAATGAACTTAAACATAAAGGTAAGATATTAGAAATGGTTGTAATTATTTGCCTATAAACAGTTTGATAGCGAAGTGGCAAAGTACATCCTCTTTTTAGATACATTTTGAAAGCTTTTAAACAGCCAAAACTAAGTGCTTGTGCTAAAAAAATTAAAATTTCACAAAAGAGGTTGTGACTGACAAGAATAATTTTACAAGTTAAGCGGTGCTATTGAATTTTTCTAAAGTACATATTCATTTTGATAGTTCTAAATCATTAGTTAATAGCAAACAAACAGATGCTCTGAATTCTAATTAATTTCAAAATTATGCCTGGTAATTTGATGTAAATGTGTTACAGATCTAGAGAAAAAGTGCACCTTGGCTGTGCCTTTGATACTAAATTAATGCTAAAGTCTGTATTTCTCATTTAAAAATAAAGGCTGTATTTCTCATTTAAAAATACCCAAACTTAATAAGTTGGGTATTAATATTTATGTCCTAAGAAAAATTAATGTGCCAAGTATTTATTCTTGAAGACTTTATTCAAACTAAGTGTTCCTTAATGTCAAATAAATGATAGGATACATTATTTATTACTTAGCACTTTAAAAGTGGCTGCTTTCAAAATATATGAATGTGTTAATTTAGGAATAAAATGTTGTCTGTGAATAACTTGCTCTGTTGCATTTAAATAGGTTTAACAGCATTGTTGTTTTACCCAAGTAAAGTAAATGTTCTTAAATATTTCCGCTGTAAACTCTACGAGAACAGGAATTCTGTGTGTCTCATTCACTGTTGGTACCTGGAGTAGTGCCTGAAGCATAGTATGTGCTCAATTAATATTTGGTGCATAAAGGAATAAATGCTCTCCAAAGAACTGAATTGGATCATGAAAGCTTTTATATATTTGATATCTGTATAAATTTTCTGTGGAGAAAGATATGTATCATAATGCTCCAAGTAGGATCGTTGTGAACTCTCCTGGAGAAATTTATTAATCTCTTTAGAAAAATAGTGATATTACATTGTTGACAGGAATATTTTCTTACTCCATGCGGTACTGGAAACTTTCCATTCAGTGTCTGTGGACCAAAAGCCTATCTTTGATTGTGTGATCAATAAATGTGCCTGTTTTTCTGCTTTCAGCCCAAGGCTGTTCCAACTTGGGAGACAAGACCAAGGGCACGTACTGAATATTTAATAACCAAATGTTTAATGACGAAGATTTAGAACTGAGCAGAAAGCCTGCAGTTGCAGCAGTAGGCCTCCTGTGTATTTGTAGCTATATTGTGGTTTTTTTCCTGTTAATTTGCTTCTCGTAGTTTTTAATAGTGTAATAATTTTTTAAATTAATATACTCTAGAAAACAAAGGAAATATTAATAAAGAAAAGATAGCATTTACTAGAGATAATGTTTTGTAAATAATTATTAAAGGGGGGAGTTTCCTTGAGTTCTGACAAGGATAATGATTTGCATTTGTAACAGCACTTTAAATTGGAACATAGCTTGAGCATCAGAAAAATAGATGATAAACTTACTAAGGCCAGAATGTATTTTACAGTGAAAGAACTTTATAAAGATAACTTTTTTATTGAAAAAAAGTTAAATGCCTTCTTGCAAGAACAACTTCCTATGTTGAACTGGTGAATTTAATTAGAAGGAATGAACAATCAACGTCATGGGTGTTTTCTCAAGATTGGACAAACCAAGCTTCTCTTTACCAAGTTTCTTCTTCAAAAGGAGGGGTGGGTGGAGAGGGGAAGCAAGGTCCTTATTAGTAATACAAGTAAAGCCCCTCCATCCTCAAGAATCCCTGAATTAAATGCAATACAATGCGGTGAAAGTCCTATTTGCAGAATGAGTGAATTCTGGGACTGGAACACAGGTAACTCCGTATGAGTTTCTTATTTTAGGTGACTGATTTTGGTTTAGCGGTGAAGAAGCAAGGAAGGAGTGAAGCCATGTTGCAGACCACATGTGGGACACCTATCTATATGGGTAAGTTAGTAGACTTAAAATGATTCTTTTTCTATATGAAAAAGTAGAACAACTAGTATGGATTAAAACTTGAGCAGTTCAATTTCACGTCATGACTTAATGGCCCTGAGCAAGCTACCTTTTCTTAGGTCAAATAATTTTAATTGTTTTAGCAGATTTCTCATAGTTCTTATCTTCAAAGATTATAGTTTTCATTATTTCTCTGGGCTCTTCTTATAGCTGTTTATGTCTCTTAGGTAATCATACACCCAAACTTAATTATTGTTTTATTAGTTCATGCTAAAATCGTGAGTATGTTTTGCTTCTTTCCATTTTTTATCCAATTTCATTGCCATCCAGTGGTTTTTCAGAGAGTACTGATTAAATATATTTTATAAACCAAGTTGCCCATTTTCCTAAATGTGATTTTTAACAGCTTTCCTGAAGTATAATTTAAATACCACAAAAATGTACCATTCAGTGATTTTTTTCATACATTCACAGAGCTGTGCAACATCACCACAATCCAGTTTTAGAACAGTTCTACCCCCAAAAGTTGCCTCATGCCCGTTTGCACTCAATCTCATTCCCATCCCAACCCCAGGTAACCACTAGATTGGCTGTTTCTGGACATTTCATATAAATGGGATCATGCAATATGTAGGCTTATACGCCTGGCTTCTTTCACATAGCATGATGTTTTTGAGGTACATCCCTGTTGCAGTCTGTTTCTTTATATTGCTGAACAGTTGTCCGTTGTATGTTGTTTATATATTTATTAGCTGATGGGCATGTGGATTGTTTCCAGTTTGGAGCTATTATGAATAATCCTGCTATGGACATTCGTGTACAAGTTTTTTTTTTTTTTAAGCTTTTTGTAAAATTTATTTACTTTATTTTATTTATTTTTGGCTATGTTGGGTCTTCATTGCTGTGCACAGGCTTTCTCTAGTTGCGGCGAGGGGGGGGCTTCTCTTCATTGCAGTGCGCAGGCTTCTCATTGTGTTGTCTTCTCTTGTTGCAGAGCACGGGCTCTAGGCGTGTGGGCTTCAGTAGTTGTGGCTCACAGACTCAGTAGTTGTGGCTCGCAGGCTCTAGAGAACAGGCTCAGTAGTTGTGGCGCATGGGCTTAGTTGCTCCATGGCATGTGGGATTTTCCCGGACCAGGGCTCGAACCCATGACCCCTGCATTGGCAGGCGGATTCTTAACCACTGCGCCACCAGGGAAGTCCCTCGTGTACAAGTTTCTTTTGTGGACGTGTGGTTTCATTTTCCTTGGGTAACTACCAAGGAGTGAAATTGCTGGGTCATATATTATTTATGTTTATACTTTGTAAGAAACTGCCAAACAATTTTCCAAAGTGGCTCTAATATTTTTCCTTTGCACTAGCAATGTATGAGAGTTCCAGTTTCTTCACATCCTTGCTAACTCTTTATATTACCTATCTTTTTAATTATAGCCATTCTAGTGGTTATGTAGTATCTCACTGTGATTTTTAATTTGCATTACTTTAATGACCAATGATGTTGAGTATCTTTTCATGTACTTATTAGTGATTCATATATCTTCTCTGATGAAATGTCTATTCAAATCTGTACCTATTGAGATGATCATATATTTTTTCTCTTTAAATTTATTAATGAAATAATTACATTAATAGATTTTTAAAATGTTGAACCATCCTTGTACTTTTGGATTAAACCCCACTTGGTTTAATGTACTGCCATATTCAATTTGTCACCACTTTATTTAGGAACTTTGAGTGTAGCTTTCTTTCTTTCAGCTGCCCTTGTCTTTTTTGATGTTAGGGTTATAATATCCTCATTTTAAAAATAAAATATTTTCACTTTTTTTATGCTGATGAACCACTTAAGCAATAGAAATTACCTGTTCATTAATTATTTGATGAAATTTCCCCTTAAAATTTTTTGGTCCTGATACCCTTTGGGGCATAAAGTTTCTATTATTAATTTATATTAGGTTATTCAAGTTTTTCACATCTTCTTGAGTCATTTTGATAATTTATGTTTTTCAGAAAATTTCAAAATATCCAGTGTAACATTTGCAAAAATGAATCCTGTGTTCAGTCACAGAGAAAACTCCTAAAAGTTGGAAACCTTTAAGTCACAATTACTAGTATAATGAAGAAAGCTAGACAGAAAAACCGAAAGACTAGATAAATTAACACACATTCACATGAGCATCAAACACATCCCACCACCTAGAAAATTTAACCCCCCCACCCCCCTGGCAACCACCCATTTGTTCTCTATATCTATGAACCTGTTTCCATTTTGTATTATATTGTTCGTTTGTTTTGTTTTTTAGATTCCACATATAAGTAAGATCATACAGTATTTCTCTTTCTAGCTTATTTCACTTGGCATAATAACCTCAAGAACCATCCATGTTGTTGCAAATGGCAAGATTGAATTTTTTATGGCTGAGTAGTATTCTATTGTATATGTAAACCACATCTTCTTTATCCATTCGTCTATCAGTGGGCACTTAGGTTGCTTCCGTATCTTGGTTATTGTACATAATGCTGCATTGAACATAGGGGTGCAGACATCTTTTCAAATTCTTGGTTTTTTGTTTTCTGGGGGGTTTTTTTCCAGAAAAATACCCAGAAGTGGAATTGCTGGATCGTATGGCAGTTTTATTTTTAACTGTTTGCAGAATCTTCATACTATCTTCCAGAGCGGCTGCACCAATTTCCATTCCTACCAACCAGTGCATGAGGGTTCACTTTTCTCCACATCCTCACCAACGTCTGCTACTTGTTGTCTTTTTGGTGATAGCCATTCTGACAGGTGGGAGGTGGTATCTCATTGTAGCTTTAATTTGCATTTCCCTGGTAGTTAGAGATGTTGAGCACCTTTTCACGTGCCTGTTGGCCCTCTGTATGCCTTCTTTGGAAAATGTCTATTCAGGTCCTCTGCCCATTTTTAAATCGGGTTGTTTGGTTTTTTGATGTTGAGTTGTATGATTCTTGGTATATTTTGGTTATTAACCATTATCAGATATATCATTTGCAAATATCTTTTCCCATTTAGCAGGTGGCCTTTTCACTTTGTTGATAGTTTCCTTCTCTGTGCAAAAGCTTTTTAATTTGTTGTAGTCTGATTTGCTTATTTTTGCTTTTGTTTCCCTTGCCTGAGGAGACACATCCAAAAAATATTACTAAGACCTGTGTCAAAGAGCGTACTGCCTATGTTTTCTTCTAGAGGGTTTATGGTTTCAGGTCTTACATTTAAGTCTTTTATCAATTTTGAGATTATTTAAATTGAATATGGTATGAGAAACTAGTCCATTTTGAGTCTTTTCCATGCAGCTGTCCAGTTTTCCCAACATCATTTATTGAAGAGGCTGTCATTTCTCCACTGTATATTCTCGCCTCCTTTGTCATAGATTAATTGACCATATAAGTGTGGGTTCATTTCTGGCTCTCTGTTGTGCTCCATTGATCTATGTGTCTATTTTTGTGCCAGTACCATACTGTTTTGATTACTGTCACTTTGTATTATAGTTTGAAATTGAGCAGCATGGTATCTCCAGCTCTGTTCTTTCTCAATATTATTTTGGCTATTCAGGAGGGTCTTTTGTGTTTCCATACAAATTTTAGAATTATTTGTTCTAGTCTGTGAAAAATACCATTGTTATTTTGATAGGGATTGCACTGAATCTCTAGATTGCCTTGAGCAGTATGGTCATTTAAATAATATTAATTCTTCCAGTCCATGAGCATGGTATATCTTTCCATTTGTGTCATCTTCAATTTCTTTCATCATTGTCTTGTAGTTTTCTGAGCACAGGTCTTTTACCTCTTTAGTTAGATTTATTCCTAGGTATTTTATTCTTTTTGATGCAATTGTAAATGAGATTGTTGTCTTTTTTTTTAATTGACATATAGTTGATTTACAGTGTTGTGTTAATTTCTGCTGTACATCAAAGTGATTCAATTATACATATGTTTACATTCTTTTTTATATTGTTTCCTTTATAGTTTACCATGGGATATTGAATATAGTTCCCTGTGCTATGCAGTAGGACCTTGTTGTTTATTCATTCTATATATAATAGTTTGCATCTGCTAACCCCAAGCTCCCAATCCACCCCTCCCCTACTCCCCTTCCCTCTTGGAAACCACAAGTCTCTTCTCTATGTCTGTGAGTCTGTTTCTGTTTTGTAGATAGGTTCATTTGTGTCATACTTTAGATTCCACATATAGGTGATATCCTATGGTATTTGTCTTTCTCTTTCTGACTTACTTCACTTAGTATGATAGTCTCTAAGTCCATCCATATTGCTGCAAATAGCATTATTTCATTCTTTTTTTTACTGCTGCAAAGTATTCCATTGTATATATGTATGACATCTTCTTTATGTATTCATCTGTCAATGGACATTAAGTTGTTTCCATGTCTTTGCTATTGTGAATAGTGCTAGTATGAACATAGGGGTGTATGTAGCCTTTTGAATTAGAGTTTTGTCCAGATATATGCCTGGCAGTAGGATTGCTGGATCATATGGCAGCTCTATTTTTAGTTTTTTGAGAAACCTACATACTGTTTTCCATAGTGGCTGCACCAATTTACATTCCCATTAACAGTGTAGGAGGGTTCCTTTTTCTCCACACCCTCTCCAGCATTTGTTATTTGTATTTGTAGACTTTTTAATGATGGTCATTCTGACCTGTGTGAAGTGGTACCTCATTGTAGTTTTGATTTGCATTTCTCTAATAATCAGCAATGTTGAGCATCTTTTCATGTGCCTGTTGGCCGTCTGTCTCTCTTCTTTGGAGAAATGTCTATTTAGGTCTTCTGTCCATTTTTTTATTGGGTTGTTTGTTTTTTCGTTGTTGTGTTGTATGAGCTGTTTGTATATTTTGGAAATTAAGCCCTTGTTGGTCGCATCATTTGCAAATATTTTCTCCCAGTCTGTAGGTTATCTTTTCATTTTGTTTATGGTTTCCTTTGCTGTACAGAAGCTTGTAAGTTTGATTAGGTCCCATTTGTTT